TACTGTTATTTCCTTTTTTCTGTTATCATAGACAAATAAGTTGTCTTGCAATTATCCTAAAACTGTTTTTAGTCTGCTCATTTTCCTATACTTCATGTATGGAATGTCTTTGGATATGTGTCTTATATCCAAATGTATTCTTTATAAACAAGTACGTTTCTGTCTCCTTCATTATCCTATTCTTCATTATCCAAGTGAAGTCATTCCCAAATATTATTACAGTGCAATACATATTTTATTGCAAGTGACTTTTCTTTTATTGCCCCTTATTTCACTACATACATATGCAGTACCTGTATTACTGATAAATTATCTTTCACTATACTAAGGGGGAAATACAAAATACTTGTTATTAAAAAAAAGGGGGGGTAGTCTAAGGGGGTTGAGGGTCGTGGTCTTTTCTATGGAGAGGATTAGGTGAATATTAGAGACAGAAAATCACAAGCTCTCTGCATTAAGTACTGTCCATTTCACTAGTGCCATGTACAGCAGATACTGTGATGGTCAGGAAGATTTAGTGTCCCTAACTACCCACTTTACTACATGAGAAGTACCAGAGTCTGGAGATCAGGTTTCTAGTTCCTACTCTGCCAATCAACTACAAATGTGACCTTTAGCAGCTCACAGTAATTTCAGTGGGCCCCCATATACTTAACTATAAAGTGAACACATAGAAATAAATTACTTTTAAGGTCCTTTCCAGCTCTGTAAGAAAATGTATAATTTTGAAGACTTCACTGACCAGAAGAAACTGACTCCCTTAATAAATGCATCTAAAATATATTCTGTGGGTCTCAATTAGATTTTCAACCACACTTTATTTTAAAGTTGTCAGTTCAATAAGTGTTTTCTTTAAAGTCATGCCTGAGAAAAACAAAAATATGTCCTCAAAAACAAAGACCCCTCCATGTGTAGTGAGATTTATGCACAGTCAGTGTGCTGAAGGGACATCTACTTTCCTATTAGCATTCTGCTCACTGCTGTGAGCCTGATCGTTTCACTTATTTTTGCTTTGAATTCTTGAAATAAAAATTATCTTTTCTACTTTTTCCAGCCATAAACTTCTGGCAGCTCTAGCCTTCTCCATGAGGTTTCCTAAATTCTAATAATCCACAGAAATAACAATTCAACAAAATCTATATACAACTAAACACTCAGTATAAATGAGGCGCTGAACAGCAAGTGCTACGGATGGTGTGAATCAACTTCTTGTTCAAGTAACTGTTTCATCCACAACCAATTTTGCCCTGGAGCCTTTGAAAAACACAATAGAAATCTGTTAAATTGGCAGTCTTGCTGAACTTCAACTATTTTATCTAACCAGGTCTATGGTAACAATAGGTACTTGGGAGCTTCTCTTTGATGAAATGTGCTTTGATTTGGAGCATAGATAAGAGATCAAATGGACCCAACCCCTTAATCTGATGGCATTTTGCTCCTGCTGATTTTGGAAAGCATCTAGAGAAGGTATAAGAATGTGACCTTAACACATACACATGCCTATGCTTTAAGAAAACCTCACTCTTAAAATTCAGTTTAGTAAGACTTCTAAATTAGTACATTGCTATTTGGTTTTTGAAGTACACCATTATCATTTTTTAAAAAACGTATTAATGACCTCTGTTCCATGTAAAGTAGAAGTGGTTTTTTTCAAATTTTGATTGAGGGATTTTTCCTCTCTTCAGAACATGTCTTGCTTATCACATATTCACTAAACAGTCATCCAATCAAGTCTCTGTTATCTCTGTGTGAATTCTATACAATCTACAGCAAAGTTGTCATATCAGGTTTACTTATTTCTGTCACCCAGCTGGTTTCTGGGCAGGTGGCCCATCTGCATCACCTCCCATAAATTGGCTTTGGTGTTTGAGGTGTGTAAGCTCATTTAAAAATTAACCAGAGCAAAACAAAATAATTAGAAAGGCAACTTGCCTACAATAACAATGATAATCTTTTTTTTTAACCAAACATGTATTACATTCTAAAGACAAATACGAATGTCTTTTTAAATAACAGTGATTTGAGTGTCTCTGCCTCTATTCCTCTCATTAACATGAATAATTCAGAGTGCTTACTATACATGATAAAACTGTTTCCCCTCAGTAATTCATTTTTAGTATCCAGAAAAAAGTATGTATTTCCAAAGGTTTAAGTTAAATCTCTTTCAAAGGCAAGTTATTTTCAAAATTATCTGTAGTGTGGATTCATTTTCATCATGCCATCCTGAGAGTAAGGAGAATCTGAAGCTTTCAAGCAAGGGCAGAACTGTGCAACAAGTAAGAAGGCAAAAGCCTTCTTGGTTCATGATATTCTTCAGGAATATAGCAATTAATTGCAAAGTGTAGGCAAGACTGCTTGTATCTTTTTTCTTAAAAGTATGAGTAGTTTGAGACATTGTACCCAATTTAGGAAGATTCCCCTAACTTTACAGTATTAAGGAAACAAAATTTTTATAACGTAATTATAAAAAGTAACATTGAATGATAAAAATAGCCTAACATTGCAGCTTTAGCTATAGTTCCTCTAATTAGAGAAGCATTTTGGATTGGGGGGGGGCCTCAAAATCGCAATGCTTTCTTTATTGATGACATGAACAAAATGAAATGAGTGAATTTAAAGTGATGACGTATTAACTTACCCAGATTCCCAAACATGAATATAAATAAACATCAGAGACACTTTATTCATATCCTATAAAATATATAATATGCATAACCAATATTTATGTGAGACACCATGTGTAAATCTTAGGTCTATTTAATATGCGATTGGAAATATTAGTCTCCAATTTTGTACATTATTCCTGGGAAAGATTTTACTTGTTTCTAGAAACCACATTCATTTTCTAGAGTCATGGGGCTGTTTGATGCACTGCTTTAGAGCACCAAACACTACCCCTGTGACCAGGAAGAAAGGGAAAGAATGTAATCAGAAGGAGCCTGCAGCTGTACTAATTCTCAGCTTCTCTCTGGTGTGAGGGAAAAAAAGGTAATCAGATTTCACTGGTGCACACATCAGCCTTGACTAAAGGCTTGAAAACTTTTTTGATTTCTTGTTTCACTGAAAATAAAATGAGAGTTCGTTGGTGTAATAAGCCAAACACCATAGTTGCAAAATTGAGTCAATACAGACACCCTGATATTTGAGGGGCTGTTTATAAAAATGCGGTGAACATTTTGATACCTGTGAAAATAAAACAGTGTGCTTTAAGTGAGTAGAAGAGAACAGATGGTTGGTAATGATTTAAAACATTTATGTTTTTGGACTGTCACCAAGCCTCTGTATTAGAAAATATGGTGTTTAGTCACTACATACCAACATCTATCTGCAAGGTGCTCATTTTCTGGAGGATGCTACTGTAATAAAAGAGATAAAACCCAAATGAGGCAAGAGGAAAATTCTTCTCATTTTCTCAAGGCATTCAATGTATATGCTATTTCTTATTGACTATAATCCATCAAAATGCTTCCTATGTGATGAGAACATTTTAATTTTTCCTCCATATTTGGGAAACGGTTTGTGTCCAGGTATTGTATTTTTTGATACATTGAGTAAAACTGTAATTTTGTTCTGTACATTTGGTCCATGTTGACTTAAGTCCTCCTTTGAAACCCTTTAAGCCATAATAAAAGCCTGATAGTCCAGGGAATTCTGGCCCATGAAAAATAGTAACATTCTCCTTATCCTCAATTTCATAGACAGGCATATGGTGTTGATTATGCACTAGAATTGGCAGATGACAAACCACTAAATCGGGAAGTGAGATAAATATTAAATATCATCACATCGCATTGTGATGTATTTATGTGAGTCTAAAAGTCCACCGCCTTTAAACCCAGCAAAATAGTGACAGTGCAGACAAATTGTATGGGAAGAGATTAATGCAATATTTAGGGCTAAGAAAAACAAATACTGATAAATATATAATCTTAATTGTTATAAAACTGCTGAAGAAAAGAGCCCTTTCAAACATCGTCGGTGTTTTAATGTGATTATGTCTGATGACATAATGAGAAAAAAGTCACATAAACACACACTCCATATTATTTACTTGCCTTCTCCCCAAACCCTGGGAACTATTTAGGAACAGTTTGCTTGTGGGAGGGAGTTGGCGGTGGACTGGCAGAGGGAGCTGAGGGAGGAGCAGAGCGCCAGCTTCACACCTGTGAACTTAGTTGGAAATAACTCCTGACAGGCATCAAACAGAACACCTTTTACTCTTCTAAGAGAAACAGGCTGATAGGCAGGAAGTTCAAAGGCCGGGGGGGGGGGGGGGCAAGAGATTGCAAGCCGGTAACCGCGCGAAAGTAACAGCACCAGCAACAAAACAAGCTCGCAATTAGACTCTCCCCAACCCAGCTCAAGCGCCCTAAGCACATCACCCCTCGAAACCTTGGCCGCAGCTTCTCTGGACACTACGCCAGAATCCACTAACGCCCCCCTCGTGGCCCGCACCCTTAGAGGTCTCTGAGTTTGCGAACGAAGCAAAAAGGGCACCATAATACAGATGCTCATCTTTCTGCCAACCATCCAGGAGGACCGGATAAACCGGCCATCAGAAACTCAAGCTGTGCCTTCTGGTGCCTCCTTTCCAACATCACCGTGCTCCAGGTGAGGCTGGCACCGGAATGCGGCCGTCCAGGGTGCCCGCGAGGGCCATGCACCCAGCACAAGTAAGCTAACAAGTTCCAGGCACCCGTGCCCTCGCCAGGTCTTCGCAACCCCGGTTATTTCCGGGACCCTCCACCTGCATCCCACAGCACGTCCAATAAAACGAACCGGAGGTGGGTCCAAATACCGGGGTGTGGTTAAAGACGCGGGTGAAGGGGAAAGAAAGCCGCCTCCAGCAGTCAAAGTACCTGGAAAGGTGAGGATACACTTCCCCGCCCACCCAGGCCCCACAGTTCCAACTATGGGCTCAAGTGGCGCCCCGGAATCTTGCCCCTGCCACAAGGACCCTCAAGGCTCCCCTCCCCCAGCCCCCACAGGAGCGCTGTTACCTCGCGAGCGAGCGGCGTGGGGAGCGGCGGCGAGCGGGCGCCGGCAGGTACCGCATTTCCAGGAGCGGAGCTTCGGCTAGAAAACTTCCCCGCGCTCCGGGGCAAACTCTCGTGGACTCCTCCCCGCCGGGGGCTGT